ACCTCCTTTCACAGGTTATCGCTGCCATAAAAAAGTATACATGTCAGAGAGTTCAATGGGGACGTAAAGCTGTTGTTCAAACCGAGTTTTGTACATTTTGGTGAAGAGTCTATGTGCTGTTCATTTGTCAGTTTTCTATGGATGTTTTGTAGTGTGATTTATTTTCCAGGTCATGCTGTGTACCATGGGTTTGATATGGAAAGCATGAGTGTCCTGCATATATAAATATATATGATTTTTGAAACAAAATTGACTGGTGGTACTTTCTTTTGCCCCTGCAGCAAAAAAACAACAACAACAACACAGCACAAACTAAAACACACAATACAAAAAAAGGAAAGAAATTCTCAGTGTTTTCGATAATTTTATTTTTCTTTAAATGTTTTCATCATGTACAAAAACAATCTCATGTTCTCTGAAAAATAACAATGGCAGCTGAGCTCCAAGTGTGCAACCCTCCTATGTACAACAGCATGTAAATGAGTCATCTGTGTATTTCTTTATGTACAACGCATATACAGGCCAGTGTACTATAAAGGGAGATACTACAGATTTATTGCTTAACTAGATACGCTGTAAATGAGCTCAGATCCTGTCAACTTTTATTTCTTATAAATGACCTAATAATGCAAGCATTACTAAATGTTCCATATGCAATCAAAACGTTTAGATATTTATTGCAGCAACAAAGAATTAAGCCTGATTTACAGCTGACTAGGCATGGGCCAGTAACAAGTTATAAAACTACTATAAGTTTCAAATGATATTAATTAGATGCTAAGAAGTGCTACAATGATTTTTGTTTTTGTTTTGTTATCTCTTTGGAGCATAGAGTAATGGAGCACTGACCCCACCTGTTGCTCTCCTGAAGGTGTATCGCAGTAAATTAACATTTCAGGTCAAAAGTTATCCATCTGCGATGTTGTTAAAAATAATTTATTTTAGTTTTCTTGTCATTGCGTAATGCTTTATCCAGGATCGGGTCTTGAGGGCAGAAGTTTTAGCAGAGATGCCCAGACCATTTTTTCTGCAGTTCAGTTTATTCATATAGTGCTGATTCTCATCCTCAAGGCACTTTAGAGATCATACAGTCAGAATGGTCTGGACCAGGGGTCTGCAACCCTAACAATCCAAAGAGACATTTTTATATTCAGAACAACAAATAAAGCTCGTTTATATTCAATATCTACCAAAGATTTTTACTTTCGTTAAATAGTCACCACACTATTTCAAATTTTAGACTTTAAAATGAGGGAATGGGTTGCTGAAATATTTTGATGTGGTCAAAAAAACATTTTTCCAACTTAAAAAAGATCAAGCATATATTTCTAGTAAATGCCAAGTTGTTTTGGAAATGCAGTTGGTTAAGGTAGAAAACACTAACTACAACACTAACCAGCATCTGTTAGCTGTCTCTTCATCATTGTTTAGCCAAACTGATGAAGCGTCATTGTCGAGTGTCTATAGAGCTACAGGTTGCAGACTTCTGGCCTAGATACTTCCTGCAGCTCCTTTAGGGCAAGCCTGAGGCTTTCCAAGGCCAGTTGATAGAGATGGTTCGGTGCTAGACTTCATGCTTTCAGTGAAACATGCCTGGAACATCTCCCTAGGGAAGCATCTAAAACAAATGGCAGACTTCTCAGCTGACTCTCGATAAGGAGGAGCAGCGGCTCTACTCCAAGCCCCTCCCTAAACGCTGAGTTCCTTAAGTTCTTTAAGGGAGTGTCCACCTATGCAATTTCAACCACTTGTATCCACTTTAGATCAAGTAAGTAAAAGGTATTAAGGAATTTCTCACAGCATATAAAATCATTAAAGTGTCACGAATAACCAATTCAAAATGTATTTCCCAATAGAACTATTGCATCCAGGCTTACACGGTTATGGGGAAGACTTCTGACTGGACAGTGTATTGATGGAAAGTTGAGTGTAAGGCAAAGCCTTTAATGAATGGTTTGGGGCAGATTGACGAGGCGTTCACTGCAGCTGGAGTCAGATAAGCACCATTAACAGAGGTATCCAGGCATGAGCTACAACTTTAACATCCCTTGTGTTGACCCACTCCTGAATCAGAAAAAAATTGTGTTCTTACTTGGCCAAGGAAAAAAAAAGGGCTGGCCTGTTGCTAAGTGGTCCAAGGTCTTTTATGAGTAGATTTTGTGTTTCATTTGTAAATCAAGAGGGGTGGAGAAGCACAAAATCAAATTTGCCAGAGGTTAGCTGTGATGTCAGGGATGTTTTGGGAACCACTTCATCTCTGTGTGTTGGTCAACTGTTTTAATCAAGTCCAAAGGCAGTGCAGATATCTTTGACAAAATTATTGGATGCTTCATCTTTCTCAGTGCTGACAAACTTAATGGAGATTTAGAGCAATGGAGCAGTTTTTCATGCAAAAAAGAGAAACAAATATTTAATTTGTAAATTGAAAGGATTTACTCTCAGAAGGGAAACATTTCTAAAATTAAAAATTTTACAAATTTGTTGGCCTTATCTATTTACTGCATTAAGAATTTGAAAAAAATCACCAAAATATTTAATTAATTCTTCCAAATTTTCCCTTTTTAAAGTGACATACATAAGTAAATTGTCATTACCAGGTTTTAATTAATCGAACTAAACCTCTAAAATAAGAAAAATTCCGCTGATATCTTTTTATTAGTGGAAAACATGGACAATCATCAGGTGGAAATTATTTTAATGCAGCCGTTAAAGTAGAATAGCAACCTGAGCAGACAGTCTGACTAATGATTCGTTTTATGTCCTCCAGTGTCAGTCACTACAGCGAAGAACAACAAAAAGATTCCAGACTTATTGTCTGACATAACCCTTGAATAATAGATCTTAATTCAGCACAGCTTTATTATAATATTTTACTTAAAACTATGCATATAATCTATATATGCAGCCACATGATACATGTTTCTAAATTCATATTATGGTATGAATTATTGTTTTGTTTTTTAAACCCAGATAAAAATGTTATTTTGTTAGTCAGGGTAAAAAAAAAATCTCTTACTGGCCCATACCTGTTGCAGCCATATCACAAAGGATTAAAAAAATAAATAAATCTTAAAATGAGTTAAAGCTGAAGACATCCATAAGAAGTATTCACACAGTTTGACTTTAAAAAGCTGTTAAGGCTTTGTACAGCAGTTAAACCTCTGCTTCAGAAATCTGACAGGATCAAATGTACTCTATCTGAAGGAGACATTTATTTGAATACCCACAGACCACACACAGAAGATCATTTGCAAGTGTTTATCTGCGCTCGCTCTGTACAACAGCCTGAAAATCGTATAGCCAGGCCCCTCATTTATCATGCACTTTAAACTCACATAGAGCAGCAAAAGATGTAGGGATGATGAAACGGACTCTCTTAGAAGTCTTTGTGGGAACAGCTGCTGTAAAGCCAAATAAGTCCCCAGCAGCAGCCAGTATAACATGGTAATTACAATGCACTTTGCTGATAGTTAGAGCCCTGTTTTCAACTGTAGGGATCGTTGGAAGCTGCCTTTGTCACTATTTCAACAGATCCCAGGAGGATTGTTAAGGGGCTGATCCATAGACCATTATGTGATATCATAATAAAGATAAATGCTGATGACAATATACCCTAAATAAGGCTGTAATTACCCTTTACTGCATCGTTAAAATAAATATATTGCTTTTCTTTTGACATTTAAACCAATAACATATCTTATTAGTCATTGACGATGGCCCCTCTTAGATATACTTGTGCATTACTCATAAATAGGTAGTTTAATCAATACCATCCTGTGCTTATTGGAATAATGTTCTTGTTTTTTTCTGTGCTTTTAGTATTATTCGTTTTTTCCATTTTTCAGCTTGCATCATTCACACGGGGGTTTGGATCCTTTGGTTCTTTTTTCTGCTTTCCCGTTTATAGGGTCTTATTCTGCAGATCTAAATGTAGAAGCCTGGACCAGGTTTAATTTTCTCCTTGCCAACACACATACAAAAACATTAAACTGTAAAGCTGGTGTTGTTATACCTTACTCTCCACAAATCTCATTTTAGAGACTCAACAAACTACAAGTATGCTAAAATGAGAAGATGGTGCTTCATGGCTCATGGAGTGGATACAAATACAGCAGCAGAGGATGCTTATTGAGTTTTGGATCTAAATGTGGACATTCCTCTTACAAATTTATCACATATCAGTTAAGTGACATTCCCTGAAAATGAAAAAAAAAAAAAGATAAAACAAACATACATATATACACATACACACGTGTATATATATATATATATATATATATATATATATATATATATATATATATATATATATATATATATATATATATATATATATATATATACACATATACACACACAAAATGGTAAAGCAAAGCATCACTTGGCCTTTAACAGCTGTAGAAATTTGGTTAATAACCACAGCTCAAATATAATAGATGAGAGTACTTCACATACCAGAAACAGATGTACTGCCTTAAATAAATAAACCAGATTACCTGGACAACAGAAAAGGCATTCCCCTGATTAAAGCAGAACTTCAGGGAATTTACAGGATGGGAGTCTGCATTTTAATATTAGCATACTGACAAGATAGGTAAATTGAATCCAAGAGGAAATTTTTGAAGCATTTTAGTTAAAATGAAAGCAAACAAAAAGTATTTTTAAGAATAAAATATAATCCATCATTCTACAGCAAGAAAGCTCTCTGAAGGCAGCTTCAGTCTGGTGATTGCTCACTAAGGTTATGCAGAGGTTAGTCTTAAAGCATCTTGGAAAAATTCCCTAAAATCATGAAGGGGAAAGTTTATGACAATACATATAAAAACAAATAAATACATAAACTTAGCCTGGACAGGTTACATTCTTGTGTAAAAATAAACCATTTCTGTTTCTGGAACAATGTGTCTTGGATAAATAAATAAATGAATGAATGAATGAATGAATAAATAAATAAATAAATAAATGAATGAATAAATAAATAAATACATAAATAAATAAATAAATAAATAAATAAATAAATAAATAAATAAATAAATAAATAAATAGATGAATAAATAAATAAATAAGCAGTTTTGCTATAATGTTAATACCAGTTTTAGTAAAACCAAAAAAAAAAAAAAACATGTCAGTATACTGTGAGACATGTTGGTGTAGGAGAGAGGCTTGTTTGGTACAGAACTTAGGTACCCGACTTTCACAAATGACTTCCTGCATGAATCCCGCCCTGGGTGAGCCAATCCATGCCCCAACGTCCCCGTTGATCACGCAACTTACAAACAACAAGAATTTTCTCACATTGCAAAACAAGGGCTTGTGTACGATTCACATAAGTATTTTCTTTTTTTAATTTTTTGACTCATCCCAAAAAATATCACCCTGGGCACACAGATAAAAAAATTACTGTAAGATATTGCTCTTAAATGTTGTGCTTACTGAATAATAATAATTATAATAAATATGAACATAAAATGAGTACTGACATGTAATATGATATGAACAAAAATTGTTTGTTTTACCATTTTTTCAGACCAGAAAATAATTATAAATCTTTATGTGTTAAAATTATTAATTAAAAAGGGGTCAGTCAAAGCATTAAAACCTTCAACAAACGGTTGTTACATCTTCCCTGAAGTGCTAAGGAACATTCATGTTGACATTCACAGTAAAAAGAAAAAAAACATTCCTAAGCCTTAACTCGCACTTATGATGGTTATAACATCAAACTGCAATAGATTTCATTGGGATTTTAAGAGAAAAATCAATTAGGAAGTAACATGTAATTGTTAAGAGAACAGGATCTAGGAGTTTATTCAGCCAATCTTTCACAGATTCCCACTAGATAATATCAGGCATTACAAATTGCCTTCTAGAACCGCCTACATAGCAAATATTCTTTCTATATTTAATATATGTTCTTTATGGATACATGCAGAGAAGGAGATATTAAAAAAGAAGAAAATCCAACAAATGTCCCTTATCACAGTTAGACTTGCAGCCATGAGATTATACCAATACTGATCTCTGCATTTAAAACTCTATGTGTGATGAAAAACGAATGCTGAGTGACAGCATGATGGAACAGAAGACATACAGTGATTACAATTTTTTATCATCAGGGTAATTTCAAAAATATATATTTACTTTTTCCTTAAAATCCCAATGAAATACATCAAAGCATGAAGTTGCTATAGGAATTATTTCAAATAGGTTTTGGTGGTAAGAATAGTGCAATGAACTCATTGATAGTTTGATACTTGCCAACCAGCCACTCGGCTGCATTAGCTGCAAGTCCTCAGTTCATACTCAATCATTAGTGCTTTTTTAAGTCATTCAAATAAAATACAGCCAACTAGACACAGAATACATCTGAAACCCCCCAAAAACAGATAACAGTTCTATCCACAATTATTGTATAAGAAGTTTTTTTGTGATCCGGATTCAGGGAATCTCATAAATATCTGGCTTCTTCAGAAGGAACTCTGATAAAATCTCAAGAGCCAAAGCAGCCATGAAGATGAGATTTTCTACCAACTTGGCAATTAACTGTTAATTATAGTAAAACAAAGTCCTCTTTCCTGTTAAAGTCATTGTGCTGTTAGTTCCTACAATGTGAATCAGTTAGGAATATTCAGTTTGGTGCAGATTGTGAGGAGAAGGTATCGCAGCGTTGTGCTTCAAGCTTTCTGACTAGCTTTCCTGTTTCTCATTTACATATTTAATCAGCTGCATACAGGAGAAAATAAGCTTTATGCAACTTATTTTACCTCCATGTATGCATGAGACATTCAATGTTTTCAACATTAGATTAACCATAATGTGGACATTTTTGGAAATAATGTAATATTTGGTCTTCATAAGAAATCTGATGGCTGTTATAAAGATAGCAAATAAAAAAAACAGCTTTGCTCTTTTTTTCAACAGACATTTGCTCACATCACTAGGTTAGAAACACAAGTGTCAAGACTGGACTGATACAAATTGAAGAAACAGATACATTTATGAGGCGGTAGTATAGGTGAGCATTAGATTAGCATTGTGATTGGTCCGTAGTGTGGACTGTGCTACCCTCTCCCTCAGGTTCAGACTGCTCCATGTTTAGAGGCAGAGTCATGTGCTCTTCCTCTAATTCTAATTCCGGCTCTGGTGTTGGATCAATGGGGTCTTGGTCACAGCCCAACTCTGATTCCTCAGTGTGAGATGGACTGCAGTCAAAAGTAAACTCTGATTGGTCCTCCGCAAATGAGGGGCTTTCCTGAAGAACGAGGTTTGACAACTGGGTATCGCTGTTTTCAAACTCCAAATGAGTCTTGTCTGAGAACCTGATGGGGACATCTTTAAATGAAAGGTCCAGCTTTTTCGGTGTGTTTGGAGGTTTGGGTTCCCGTGGCAAGGACAGCCCTCTGTGACGCATGCACAGCTTGTGTAGTTCTGTTACCTCGGATACGCTTGTGCTGTTCCCACTGTCACGGAAACTGGCCAGAGGAGGGCGTACTTTCACTCCAGTCACTGTTACTGAGCCCTCGATGGCCTTACGCAGCTGTAAATATTGGAAATCAGTCAGCAGAAAAAGAGAAAGCAATGAAAGCCGGTGTAATGAAAGTTGCCCATTTAAGCTCTTTAAAATGGAAGAGAAATCAAGAAACCGCATGCATACCTCTTTAAGAGAGACCACTCCAACCAACCGTCCCATGCTGGTCACGTATGCGTGATCCAGGCCCAGCAGAGAGAAGATAGTGTGGGTCTGTGGGTAAGGACGAGAGATGGGTCATGGCCTGAATACAGACTTGAAAGCGCCTCATTTGCATTTTGAATCTGGGCTGTGTGAACTGCCATGACGGGATGGAACTGCTTTGTATTTTTGTCTCTCAAGATGGCCACTGAGTCAGATTAGGCAGTCTCAGACCTCCACCTCACAATTGCACCTTATCAAACCAGAGGAAGAGTTCTGAAGAGATTCTTCATAGATTTAGAATGGATAAGAATGATTTCTCCAAGAAATCATCAATACTTGGGTTGTTTCTAGTTTGTATCTCATGATGGCAATCATGCAGCAAGTTAAGGATTCCCTCTTGAGTACAGGGACATCAACAGTGAAAATAGAGCATCCATTACTTCCAGGTGTTACAACAAGCGCAAAACCACATTTATGCTGGTGAAGGTTCTGAGTCATCCAGGTAATAGTCATTCTGGAAAAAATAAAAACAATCCACTGGACTTGGTTTCCAAGTTTGAAGACGTTTCGCTTCCCATCCACGAGGCTTTTTCAATTGAAAATGTCAGGAATAACTTTGAGTTTAAAAAAAATAAACGAAAAATGGGAAGCAAAACGTCTTCAAACTTGGAAACCAAGTCCAGTGGATTGTTTTTAATTTTTTCGAAAAACCAACATCTAAGTATTAGCCTTACGAGTCAAAGAGAAATCCTGCTGTATTAAACGTTTTTAGTTATTTCTGTACCTTATGCAGGGACGTTTGCTCCACCAGCTGGAAGGGGGCAGGATCAATCTTGCAGTTCTTAAAATCTACCAGCTGATCGAGCTGCTGATCCTCCCACTCTGCTATCTGCGAAGGGATAGGAGACAGAGACAAACAAAAACAAACAGTTTTTAATATGTAACCGATAGAAGTCTGTATAAATCCCTTCTACCTGTGCATGCCTCACCTCTGAGGGAGTCATACAGTCTTCAACTTCAGGAGATTCCTAAAAATACAAAATAGACAGATGCTTTAGTTAACATTTATAAAAATATGCTACCTGAAGTATATTAGAACATGCAAAGTCGCTTCTGGCTTCAAATTGAACTTTGTGTAGTACGTTCCAGATCTTTAGTTTGAGAGCTGATGGGATGTCTGCTTCTTAGAACAGGTCACACCCTAAATTATTTTAAAATATATTCTCATAGAACCACAAATTTAAATATATTTTGTAAGATTTTATGTCACAGACCAACATAAATCATACTTTAGTTAAAATATTGAGGCGTCCACACCGTCACATTTAACTCCTTTTCCACCACAAGTCTGTTAGAAGATATGTAGAAGCGCTGCAGGTCTAGAGCCTGACTTTTGCCTCTATCGCTAGGCTGTGCAGACATTTTATTACACTGATCTAAAACAGTTTCAATGTAGCTTTAGCTATGGGTTTAGTGTTTTCCTTGTGTAGGAGAACCTGTGCTCCAGTCTTTTACTTCCTCAAACAAGCATTCTACCTCTTTCTATCACCTGATCTACTTAAAAAAGTGTGCCTGCCCTGCAAACGAGAAAAAAAGCAGCTCCACAGCATGATACTGTGCTCAGGGTGATGAGGTGAGTTAAGTTTCTGTCACAAATATGTTTTTTAAGAATTTCAAAAAGGAAGGAAACCTCTAAATACAACCTGTTGCTATTTAAATTTATTTATGGGTATCAGAGTAAATTAGGCTTTATATTAATGATTATTTCAGATGTATATTTGTGAAAATAGATATACTACATACTGTTAGTCTGTCACATTAAATCCCAGTAGAAGACATTGGCGTTTGTGGTTGTAAAGTTACAAAAAATGGAAACATTTAAGAGGTTTAAAAACCCAGTGTATAGTTATGAAAATGCAGGTGTTGGGAAAAAGTACAATGTAACATTGAACAAGCATTACAAGCAGTTAAAAGTGAAAACGTCTGAATGCACCAACATCTTGACCATTCTCAAACATGCTCTCTCTCTTTCTCTGTAAAAAGCCACTCTGATGCTTTTGGTTTGAGCACCACAAATATTTAGCTCCAGCACTTACTATGTGCAGGTTGCAAGGCAACAGTTACTAAGCAACAGTCTCTAGGCGGCAGACAGTCTTACCGCCATGGAGATCCTCACTCGTTTGGGCTTGGGCTGTGTTTTGTCAGGAGAGGCCGACCCGACCGGACTCTTCCAGCCGGGGGAGAGAAGACATGACAGCACAAGATTAACACAAGGTTCAGATAAAGTGGACAGCTTTTAACCCTGTGAGCATGGCAGCACTGAACACTGGGTTTCAGCCAGACTTCTACACGGAAGTCTGGGATGAAAGCGCAGTTTTACTGAAAGGCTGTAATTACTGCACCACAGATGAAGATCAGGGCACAAAATCCTTATGAGACAACTGATTTCAATGCAGCAGCTATTGTTAGATATGTACCCAGGATAGATCATCCTTTATCTTAATCTTTGAAGTCCTTCTATTATATCTATTTAAATAGAAAAATATGGCATTGCCCCTTTCAGATGGAAGATCCCCCACCTTGCTAAACTGAAGGACAACATGGAGAATGAAACTAAACCTATAATTTTGATTTGTCAGCCCCATATCAACCATTTCTTTTTAAACCAGGTCAAAGTAAACCCATTATTTTGTATCTGTTTTTCTGTGTTTATTCAAGATACTCATCACATGATGTCAAAAGAGTAGTGGCTTCTCTATATCTACATAATAAGTAGTTTTTGTTTTACAACTAACGACTAAAGAGAAAACAAATAACAATTGGGGTTTGTTTGATTCATGTAGTTGTAATTATTGGCATTATTTTAATCATGTAAAAGATATTTATTCATAATATTAAATGAAACACTACTTTTGATAATACAAGTGTTATATTATTAAAGAAAAATTTACTGACACACTGCTTTCACTTCAGTTATTTTCTCTTATGGGAAGGATGAGTAAAATCACTTTGCATCTCATTCACATGAGAAAAAAAATCCCAATAATAATTTTTTGTATAACTGCACTAAATCCAACAATTCATCTAAAATGACCATCATAGAAGCATTTTTGTCATTCATCTATTAAATAATCCCTGACTTTCAGAGGAAAAAATGAATGTAAAACACAAGCTTATTATTATTATTTAAATATTATTATTATTGTATGGACCACTAGGATGGACAAGAGTCAGAGGTGATCGTGTCTCCAGAGAGAGGAGGCTGGAAGGCAAGGGGAAAGAAAAAGACTAAAATCTTACTGTTAGAAATTCATAACAAAGACAAGCATGCTGACATCAGATCAGCTGTTTGATTCTATTAAAATACCACCAAGATGTTCAGGGGGTGCCGACATTTCTCTTTTGTGTCTTACCATTTTAAATGCAAGCACATGGAGACTGCTCAGTGCCAGCCTTACTGCACGTTACACTAGAGTCAGTTTTAGATGAATCTAAGATTGTGGTTTCTGAAAAAAAAAAAAAGACTCCTGATGTGTTGGTAAACGAAGAATCTGCCGTCCAACACAAAATTCATATTTGGAAAATCCCCTTATGTCCACTGTTAAGTACAGCGACGGACTTGTGATGCTGCAGACCTGTTTCTCTACTAAAGACTCTGTGAATTAAAGTGCATTTTTTACCTGTAGTCAGTAAATTCACTCCTGTTAAAGGTTGTTTTTCTAGTCTGTTTCTTGTTAAATTATGCTGATTTTATTCAAGACTGTTTGGGAATCTTTTACCAGGTTTGCCCAAGTTGGAGGAAGGCATATTTGCTAGTATTTCAAAATAATTCTTATCTAAATGTCACTACAGCACTTTTTTTGTTTTATTTTCTTCTTAGTTTTACTTAAAAAAAAAATCTTAGATGATAAAGATGGACAATCCTAATTCTGACATAAATATTATAAGTTTTAAAATTGTGCAAACGTCAAGATTTTATTATTCCTAACGAGCCTCTACATCAAAATGTCAAACATAGGTCAATAATTGCCTCAAAGTGGCTAAATATAGCCTGTAATGTAACTAAGGCTAAGTGAAATGTAGGATGTTGAAAAACTAGCAGAGTGTGTTTGCTGTGTAGTTATAGGCTGCAGTCACTGGCTAAGGACAGAGCTGTGCAGAACGACGACAGAATGACATCACACTTCAAAGCTCTGCTGCCTTTGGGTGAGTCCTATCTGACAGCAACAAGGCATGGACTCAGAGAGAGCACACATCCTCTTACACAGAGCAGGTCCCACTCTTCCTCACTTAAAAATAAACTCTTCTCACCTCCAGCAGCTCCTTGTCTTGATCGGCACAGGAGAGGGTCTGTGAGCCTGTTAGAAGAAAAATCAAAACATCAAATCAAATCCACTTTCCATCAATGATAATTTTAAACACAGCGCCTTAATATTGTGCATATCTTTTTTTTTTTTTTTTTTTTTTTTTTACATTTTGTCACATTACAACCATAACTGGAAATGTATTATGTTGAGTTTATGTGAGAGAATAACACAAAGCAGCATATTATTTTAAAGAGAAAAAAGGGGTTTAGTTTCTCAGGCTTTTTTTATTAATAAAAAAAAAAGTTGCACATTTATTTTGAAACCCATATTTTGAAGAATCGCCTTTTGCTGCATTTGCTGTGTGTATTCCTAGCAGTTTTTTTTTTACATTTACAAATTGTTATGTTTGAGCATTCTTTTTTGTAAAAAAGTTCAGTTTAATAGCATCAGTTAACAGCAAAGTTCAGGTATAGCAACTGATTTTGAAAAAGAGCTTTTAAGATGTTCATGTTGGAATTATACAAAGATTATATTAAACATGCAGATTCATGTGGACTTAGGAGTGAATTTGTTGCACTGGATCTTATCTAGGGGCATCAAAGGGGGGCTAAATACAAATGCATGCCAACTTCTCAACTATGCACTATTGTATTGTAGTCTACACACAAAGTTCTAATAAAATACATGTTTGTGGTTTTATCATGACAAAATACGATTTATTAATAAAGACATGTCAATACTTTTTTTAGAACTTATAAATCACACTCTTCAGTTCTCAGTTTTTTTGTGTTGTTTATTAAGACACATACTATTTGCCGTCTCTGCATCGCTGATGGCCAACACAGTTTTCAAGGCAGACTTCAGAGGAAGCTGAGCATTAGAAACCACCGGGCTAAAGGAGGAAGACTCCTCTGTGGAGATCTGCATGAACAGTACATTAAGAGGAGAGGCGAGACACGGAAACATGCACACAAAAAGAGAAATGACCAAGAATGACCATGCATGAAAAAAAGCAAAAAGAACAGGACAGCACAGGTAAAGGCACAGACAACAGAGACACAAGAGAGATATATGTTAATGGAAGACGCAGTCATATTAATCATTTGTATAAGTTTAAAAAAAAAACTTACCACAGCAAAAATCCTAAAGCTGCATCTGTGCCTTTACCTACTGCCACGTGCTCCTCTCATGCTGTTTCTAGCCTAGTTCTAGTCTATGCTATGACCCACCCCAAGCCAGAGTTTGTCCCAGCCCCGCCCCCGGCGCCCCCGGACGCCTCACACCTGCTGGGTGCTCACCAAGAAGCGAACCACTTGGCGAGCACTGGTGTTGGTGGGAGTGTTGAGGTGAATGTGGGCACAAGGGGAGCTTGGGGTGCTGTCAGAGGTCAGACTGTTGAGTGGATCATGAGCGCCGTTGTCCTGGGCCATCTGACAAAGGTACTCAAGCCTTCGCTGGCGGCTGAGCTGAAGAGAAAGGAGAGACTGAAGCTCCAGTCGCTCTATGGAGCCCAGCAGGATCATGGAGTCTGGGGAAGAAGAGAAGAAGAGAAGAAGATCAATCCATCACATTGACTCAGCAGAAATAATCAAATATCAATCCTGTTTCATAAAATGTTTTTTTTTTTATCTGTATTTCATAAAAAGCAGCATCTTTTTCCCATTTCCTAGCCTATAGATATCTTACAAAGAAAAGAAAGAGCTGTAGACCACACACAGAGCTAATTAGTGTTTGCACCAAGTGGCTGTTCTGCTGTGCAGCGTTAAAAGGGAATTAGGTTCAGGTCAGGCTGGAGGACATAAGGTTGTCTGCCTTTTGCTGCAGCAGCAGGAGGGTTATGTTGCCTTATTAGTAAGCTCATTTTTGCAAACAGGAAAAAGCATTATCCTTCTAGTTTGGCTCTCTGGACTCGACACTGTTCTCTAACACAGCAACAAGGTTTTAAGGCTTATATTTACATAAGAATCACACCATGCAAGATGGAGTTTAACTAATTAGAGCACCCTTTTCCAGTTCTAAGTCTTTACATTGTATTTACATTAGCTTGATTTCTTCTTTAATGGTTTTAAATGATTAAAATCTTACCTGAAGTGTGCAAAAAAAAAAAAAAAAAAAATACATAACAATCCCACTGAACAAAAATAAATCATAAGTGGAATACACTTTTTGGTCCATACAATTTTGGTATTATGTCAATAACTGTGTGCATGTAGCACAGCAAACTGCAAAAACTATATTCCTTAACCCTATGGAGCCATGAAAGTTTTATGAAGGTTGTATTTAGGTTTTATCATCCTTTAATGTACAATGATAGGGCTAAATGCTTCATGCAACACTTGGAGTAAACTTAAAACAAATAAAAATCTGGCAAAGACTAGACAATTTGTAGTATACTCTGATATATAAAACCCTTAAGTTAGAAGAGTCCATCTTGTCTTTTTGCAAAACTGGATATTGCCAGGCCGCTGCAGAAGTAATTAAATAGAAATGACTTAAAATCCTCTAGAGAAGAAGACACACAATTTGCATTAATAATGAATGAAGATTGTGCAAATGGAGAAAAAAACCAAACGCGTAACCAAATATTTCTACAGCATAAAGAGCACAATCAAACTAATACCATGCATATACAGTTCCATTGGAATAGTTTTCTGAACAGGGCAGGGAAAAAAAGAGAAAAAGGAAATCCAAAATCAAGTGATTAGAGACTATGAGTTTAAAAATAAATCTAAATATCTCTGAATATACAAATCTAGCCAACATTTGGAAACAACAACCTTTTTAAAAGAAGGGTACAATTAATATGGTCCTACATCCCCTTTTAACCTGAAAACAATACAAAAGTTCTAGAAAATCTGAAGCTCCAGCTCTGGGCTCAGATTGCACTGTTCCAAAGAAAGAGAAAAAGATGAAAACGGACCTCTACATTCAACCAGGGCGAGTGTTTTTAGATGCCCAGTCAGCAGCACCTCCTGCAGGTCTCTGTATGAAGAATTCAGAGTGATAAAGCGCACATCTCGGACCATGATATCCTCCACACGGATATTATACTTCCTAAATCATAGAGGAGAAGTTAGATCATGGAAATACGTTAATAGTTTGGTGATGGAAAGAGTGAGATACATAAGAATGAAAACAAACCAAAAGAGGGCTCATCAATCATTTTAACAGCAAGCACAAAGAAACCAACTCACTCGTGGTGTCCCATCCCCAGCTCGGGCAGATATGGAAGTTTCTTGATGCGGATGATGGAGTCGTACAGGGATGGCTGGAGCGATTGTGCCACGGCGTTGGCCAGTATCACTGCGATCATCACAGGCAGGATATGGGAGATCTGACCAGTCAGCTCAAACACAATGACGGCTGTGGAAACAGTGTGAGTGACCGCTCCAGAGAGCGCTGCAGCCCCTGCCCAAAGAGAAGGCAAAGCCGATATATATTAGTCATGTTAAATCTGCACAGCTTATTATAAACCTGGTAATTACATTAAAAACAAGAATTTTGAAAAAAATCGCTCCAAAGCATTTTCATTGAAAACACAATAACTTTTATTTTTGACTCAAAAATTGTAGTTTTACTGTAGCTCAAAATGTAAATAGAAGTTTTGATTTATAGAAGAAGCAATTCTACTAATCCTTAATGTTAAAGCACATGCATTGAAGTTAGCTTGAGCCTTAAGAAAACAGCTATTTAACTCACATAAAACAAACACATGTAGAGAAATCTTTATAAAATTCAACACAGAAATAACTTTAGAATATAAAAAAAAATGACTTTAGGCAACTCACCAACTACGGCATAGCCACCAGGAACTATAGGATACACAGTACCATCTGCATGGATGCCATCAGGGAACATGGCTGCCATGATTTCTCCCACTAATCTGCCGAAGCCTGCACCTGTCAGTCAGTCACAGACACAGAATGATGCCTATCCTCTAAGATGCAAATTAAGATCAAACCAGGGAAAGAATATAGACTATTTATATACCAATAAGAAAGACAGGCATGAAGGCTCCACATGGGACAGGCATGGTGGTGGCTACAGCAGACATCCAGAACTGAAACACAAAGAAAGGTTTGGCTTGAAAGGGTAAATGATTCAGTTTTGAACCTAAAGTGAAGAGTTCTAATTCTCAAAGTTTTGTTACCAGTTATGTAAATGATATTTGGTCAGAAGTTATTTTGCAAGACTTGGTGGCTTATGATTTAATGAATTATTTGCAAATACCTTAATCAAAGTCCCATTTTCAGCGTATCTTTTCCGTGGCATAAAATCAAGTAAAAAGACTTAGATGGGATTTGTGAGGGGAGATGAGGGGGGTTGGCATCCCCCTTCTTAAAATAAACCTTAAAAATCATTCCCCTTCTTAAATGACCATACCCCAATAATATCCCCTGTGACATTTTATCACTGAATATGTAAATTACATATATTAACAGTAATGGCAATAATATTGCCCTTTCAACATCTGGCAGGCTGTGCGCTTGACCAAATTATGGTGGTCCAGAGGGCATATGCGATTTCTTTTTCAACCTCAGTGGCGCAACCAGTGGAACAGGTGATGGTGTTCTGAATAGCATCACGGCCAAGTGGCAAAGACAACGCAATTTGAGGGAATGTAAAAATAAGGAAGGGAGGGAATCTTTCGCAGGTTCTAGGTTCTAAATTGCCAAGATCTCCCTCCCCTGCTTAGGTTGAGAAATAATGTGTTTACAATTATGCAAGTTTCTCCACATAATCATACCTGCTCTCTGTGATTGTGGTATGAATTTCATAAGTCTGGGACAATAAATGTGAAAATGAGGAGGGGACGGAATCTTCGGCAGGTTTCTAAGTTTAACAAATAAAATGTCAGAAATGATCTAGAATGGTGTTGATAACAAAACTGGGAATTGGCATCCACTGAGCAGAGAATTTATATATCACACAGTGACTGTAGCACATCGACTGAAACGTGTCTCCATACAAGTAAAATCCTAGCCTGTGGTCTAGTGGTCTAGCTTTGATCAATGCCCCAGGCCCTAGAACTGGGAGGCCAATCACAACGTAGAGACGTGTTTTGAATTTCTGGATGCAAAGTGGGCGGGGTTTTGAGGGCGTGACGACAAAGCTGCGCAAAGTTGGATAAAGCACAACAAGGAAGATGGCAACAACTATTGAACAGTAGCATGCACTGCGGCGGGAGCAGCTTTCAATGGAGCGCTCCATTGAAAGTTAAAAGTTCTCTTTTCTGTTGCTGTTGTTCAGTAAAAGTACGTTTTAACATAATTTGAGGCGAGGATATTATACTTTAAAGCGTCACTATATGGTCCTTTTACCGATTTAATGCGTAACTAAAAAAACTGTTTCTGAAGTTGAGAGGAATGCGGCAACCAGTGGAGCTCCGAGGCTAACAGCAGCCAGGGCTAACCGCAGCCCGTCTGCAGCAGTCCTCTCTCAGCTTAGCCGTGTGTGAAGGACTGCTGGCTCTGATAGCGATTTTTGACTCAGCTTTGGAATCAGTTTGGGAAGGATTAGACTTGGGGTTTTCATTTAAACGTGAGCAGCAAGAGGATCTATGCTCATTCAGGCTGTTGGTTTACACCCCCCCACCAGCTTTCTGTTGCACTTACTACGTCACAGTCAGTTGCGCTCATTGGTCAGAGCGTTGACCAATAGGCACAGACATGGCTTGAAAAACAACGGGGTTGTTCTCATCGACAATCTTCCGATGTCTTATTCATCAGGGCCAGACTAAATAACAACTTACTCTTCTATTTAGTCTGGTTTATCAGACTAGTAAAATCCTATTAATTCAAATTTATCTGTCCCCCAAAACTATCAATTTTAAGGCATCAATGTATAAGAAATATGAAAAAAATTAAAAATATGTATAAAATGTCCCTGTTCGTTCATATTTAAATCTGTTTTCTCATCAGTGGGTGTGAGTTTAGGGTGATGCATGCTCCCGCGACAGGGGAGGTAATTCTCGGCAGGCAGGTAATTCTCGAAACAACAGATGAAACCCAGAGGATAGTATTGAAGATTTGAAAAAGAAATTTTAATTAAGAAATTTAAGACAGGGATTATTATCTTGTCTCTAACTAGAACGTAGGGGCAGTGATAGCCATGCCAGTCCAGGGACTGACTGCAGTTTTGCTGTAAAGTGCCTTTGTACCTGACATGTAACAACCATAGCATGCACATTGCTTTGGGTTAATAGAATATAAAATTATTAAGCTATGTATACTTCCTCCCCAAAAAATTCTTTTTTTTTTTTACAACTCGACTACTAATTGTGAGGGTTAAGTAGGCAAACCTTTCCTTATATAATCCAGCATTCGAGTCTCACCTTCATGATAATGAAGAGGATGAGTGTGATAAAGACGTTGACCTGGGGGTGTTTCCAGGCATGATGATGGCTGATGTAGTCAAACTCCTCAGCTACACCCTGGCGACACCAGGTGCGGTTGTCAAACAGAGTAACCAGAGACTCGTGCTGCGTCAGCTGACACACAGAAAAAAAACTGTCTGAATGGTCGATCATTTAGAAATATCAGACAGAAACAAACCAAGTTCACAAGACAGATGTTACTTCTCTGAAGAACATTACAAACCAATGTTTGTCCAAAAATGTATTTAATTTAACTTATTTAATGAAAAGTAAAATATTTCTTCCTTCCTTCCTTCCTTCCTTCCTTCCTTCCTTCCTTCCTTCCTTCCTTCCTTCCTTCCTTCCTTCCTTCCTTCCTTCCTTCCTTCCTTCCTTCCTTCCTTCCTTCCTTCCTTCCTTCCTTCCTTCCTTCCTTCCTTCCTTCCTTCCTTCCTTCCTTCCTTCCTTCCTTCCTTCCTTCCTTTTTCATGTTTGCTTCAACAAAGATAAAACAAAATAAGAAAGGATCACATCTTATCGTCATCTTATCGTCATCAGAACTGCACTGCCCTGTGGCTCGATGAACCAATGATAAACTATCATCTTTCTGATTTGTTTGTTTTGTTCAAGTTTTTGAACCAACCTCTGTGCCCCCATAAAAATAAAAATAAAAACCATTGGCCCCAATCTGCCCCCACGGTAAATTTGATCTAGAACTGTCACTGTTTATAAAGGGTATTTAATTATTTGATTTAATGTTAATGAAACTCCTTAGAAGCTGGGGATTCTGTTTTAGTTTTACTACAAAAATGCTACACCAAGAGCTTATGCAGAGGGTCTGAATGTCAATAGAAATGTTTAAAAATCATGTACCATCTGAGCAAATATACCAGCTGTTATACAGCTTATTAACTTCACACCGGTTCTCACTTCATTTAAAACATCAATCAGCAGATCTCACAATGTCAGCAAAAGGTGCAAACATATTTTCTCACCTGTCCAGCCATAAACTGCCCGAAACCGGGAGGAAACGTGAGCGTGGACACCACCAGGGTGACGAGGGCAGGGTACACCAGCCGCCTAACAGGAAGAGACGGACTGTGGGGTCATTAATGGGGGTGCCCATCATGCTGTTTACGCAGATGATGCACCGATCTATGAATACATTCTGATGAGGCTGTGCCAAACTGACACACCTGCTTTTCTCTAGAACAGCAATATCACTGTGACACATTGTGTGATTGGGAGATTGTTCAACACAAGAGAAAAGAAGCAGAATCAGGGGCTTATGATCAGAGATTTGAAAGGTCCACAGACAATACCAGCAATGTGGCATTTAGAAAAAAATACTATTAACCTCACACACCTATGTTTAAAGGGATTTTTATGTTTCAAGCTTGTCCTGAAATATTTTTTGTTTATTTTCTTCTGCTTGTTTAATAATTTTTGTTCTTTCTGTTCATGTTTTTTTTTTTTTTTTTTATGTTTTAATGTAAAGTTTTTATCAATCGCGTATTTTGTTGTGGTGTTTAGTTTTCCTTAGGGTCATTATTATATGTTTTTTGAATGTAATTTGTGTGTGTAAGTTCTTGTTTTATGGTGCTGTGAGAGGTCTATTAGAGGTAATATTTGGGAAAGTGAGCACATTTTCCTCATTTTCTCACGTCGTTTTTGGGTTATGTTTAGGACCTTAGTATGGGCTAAGTTTAGGCAATATTTATGTTTTATGTTTAATGAATGATGCATGTTTCATATGGATATGAAAAAATAAAGTCCTTGTAAAGAAGGAAACACAGGGATATGTGTCTGTGCTCTTGTTGTCATTGTGTTTCAAATGCAATGGCTGCTAGACTTATCTTTGTATTCTATTGTTCACCTGATGTTGCCCTTTAAAGGTTTATAATTGGGAAAAACATTTAGCCCCTCCAGCAGCACCATAACGAGCCTAAGCAGTGTATAGTAACGTATTAAAAGAAAAGAAAAAAAAAACAGGACCAGATACTCACTTTCTCAACAAAAACTTGTTTATAGTCTTCTGCTTCCTCATGCACTCTACAATCAGTCTGTTTAGGTAGACAAACAGAGCCCCACCAAACCCACAGGCAATCCTGCAAAGAGACAAACATGACATGTTTAGCCTACACAGGAAAAAAACAGTGGACCTCAGTTAAGCCAATGTTCAATGCTCTTTTACACAACATAAGCAATAAAAGGGATTCTGTAGGAGAAAAGGCACAACATATCATCTGAACCTAAACACTGTTTATGCAGAGTCTCTCTAGTGAAACAAACCCACCCAAGTATGGCGAATGCCGGCAGCTCCTGAAGGTCAAATGGAAAATCCAGACGGAAACGTGTCTTAAAGAGGGCAGTGATGGTCTCTGGGGAAAAAAAGATTGTTCTCACTCTGCAGCAGTCAGGAGCAACCGTTAGTGAAAACCTGTCATCCTGATTTTTAAAATAAGGTGGCTGAACACCATTGCACGTCTGTGCAATAGACCTAGCCCACAGCACAGGTGAAGTTACAAAAAATAGATAAATAAACAACATAATACTGAGTCTCTTTTACCTTCCTCCTGGTTCCAAACAGCCAGCACTCTGAATATGAAAGCACTGAAGGTGGCCGCAAAGAAGCCCCTCCAATAGTTCCTGACTGCAAAAAATGTTGACGTAACTTCGATACTGAACAGCACACCTGTAACGCACAAATGTACACTAAGATAATCACACATTTCAGCAAACAGAAATGCTGAATGCATGGCGTTGCAAAAAAAATTAAAAATAACACTCCATCAAACCTTTATACCATTTTTTTATATTAAAACCTCAAACATTTCTGAAATAAAAGGAGATAAAATCCAAATTTTTACAAATAAAAATGCCAAAGTATGACTTATTTTAATCTAACCTTGTTTGCTCTAACTCCTCTACATTCTGTATAAGTGATCAGAGATGGCAAAAGTACTCACTTTCCGTACTTGAGTAAAAGTACAGGTACGTCGGTACTTGTGTTAAAAAATACTCTGGTAAAAGTGGAAGTACTGATTAAACTTCTTTACTCAAGTAAAAGTAACAAAGTACAGGCTTGTAAATTTACTTAAAGTATAAAAGTAAAAGTAGAAACCACTTTTTCATGCCGTTTCCTACATTTTAAATGGATGTCTGCCAATAGGACTAGATCTCCGTTGTGTTCATTTTCAATCATCTCGTCGTCCATGCTACTATGCTAACGCCACCGCCACCAAGCTGCAATGATTTGCCGCCAATGAATACCGCCGAATCTGTCGATTCATCTTGTAGTGGTGCGTCAAATGCAACGTAGATTCCCATCCAATTAGATTGAATTTGGTATTGATGACGTGAAAAATAATAACGGTAACTCCATTGAAATGATTCAAAACTAAAGTAACGAGCCAATTTTTTTAAAATGTAAGGAGTAGAAAGTACAGATATTTGTGTAAAAATATAAGGAGTAGAAGTAAAAAGTTGCCATAAAAATAAGTAGTAAAGTAAAGTAAAAATATCAGAAAAATCTACTTGAGTACAGTAACGAAGTATTTGTACTTCGTTACTTCCCATCTCTGTAAGTGATGAACTGTAGAAATCTTATATGTACAAGGAGTGCACTCATGTGTATCTCAGCTCATCTCTTAGAGACTGTTGGTTTATGTTCCAGCAGGACAATAACCCTGAAAACTTATGTTTTAGCAAAACCCAGTTAAAGTCTAGATTCAGATATCGTTGAGAATCTATGGCAAGGCTTAACAAATTTGATGTTTACAAAGATTTAGCTCTACCTGACGTATTAATTTTTGTGTGGCATTAAAAATGGGTAGAGATGGTTCTTAAAGGGATTGGTTTAGGGTGTATTTGAAGGTTGCGAAGTATACTAGCAACCTGAAAATTATTCTTTTCTATCCCCTCCCCCTTGAATATGGTGCAGACTAACTAGAAAGCGTGTTGTTCATAAAGCAACGACTGGTTGTGCAGCTTAATTTACAGTTAGAGTAGCAGAGCTGAGTACAGCCTTTAAATATAGGGTTGAAAGATGTCACCTCTGATGGGGAGCCATCCTGTGATATTATGGGATGTGTGAATTGCTTAATACTGTTTTGAAGATGAGAAGTGGAAAATAATCCAAGCTTTTATTAAAAAAAGAACACAGAAAGGTTAAGACTAGAGCAGCGTGTATGACTGAGAGAGAAATCCTAACAGGAAAACCCAAATCATTGTAAAGTGCTGCCTTCATTGGGTAGTTATTATTTGTTTTGCTAATTTATTATAGTGATTTGATAAGATTTCAGGATTAACTGTGGTGGTATTACATATGAACATATAAAATTTGCCTTGCAAAAATAAAGTAACTGATGAGGAAGAAACTGATAAAGGCAAGAGGTGTGGACAGAGGAATATGAGGAGGGAGAGATGATTAAAAAAAATGTTTGTTTCTTAACAATAATATTACACTTTTTATTGGAGGTACAGACAGTGGACTTTCTTGGAAACTTTTCGGAGGCTTTTATAGTGTGTATATAAGAATGAATCATATTATATCGGTCGATTCATTTAATCGATACCCTTTTCATCAATTAAGTTAATATATTGTGCTATAAGGCAAGGCAAGGCAAATTTATTTGTATAGCACAATTTAGTACAAAGACAATGCAAAGTGCTTTACATGATTAAAATACAGCAAGATAAAACAGAATCAAAGCAAGTAGGAAAAAATAAAAAATAAAATAAAATAAAAAATGCAGAAACAAAAAAAAAGAATATTAAAAACCGTTGGATTAAAGAAAACATGTTCTTGTTGAACTGTTTAACTAGAATAGTCGAAGGCAATCCTAAACAAATGTGTTTTTAGTCTTGATTTAAAGGAACTCAGGCTTTCCGCACTTTTACAGTTTTCTGGAAGTTTGTTCCAGATAAGTGGAGCATAGGAACTAAATGCTGCTTCTCCATGTTTAGTTCTGGTTCTAGGTATGCAGAGCAGGCTGGAGCCAGAAGACCTGAGTGGTCTGCAGGGTTGATACACTGATAGCAAGTCTGTTATGTATTTAGGTGCTAAGCCATTCAGGGATTTATAAACTAACAGAAGTATTTTAAAGTCTATTCTCTGAGATACAGGGAGCCAGTGTAAGGACTTTAGAACTGGGGTGATGTGCTCTACTTTCTTAGTCTTAGTGAGGACACGGGCAGCAGCGTTCTGGATCAGCTGCAGCTGTCTGATCCACTTTTTAGGCAGGCCTGTGAAGACACCGTTGCAGTAATCAATTCGACTAAAAATAAACGCATGGATTAGTTTTTCCAGATCATGCTGAGACATTAGTCCTTTAATCCTGGAAATGTTCTTCAGGTGATAGAAAGCCGACCTTGTAATTGTCTTTAAATGCTTTTGGAGGTTCAAGTCTGAATCCAGCACTACACCTAGACTTCAGGCCTGATCAGTGGTTACAAGCTGAAGCGACTGAAGCTGTGTGCAAACTTTAGATCTCTCCTCTATAGGTCCAAAGATTATTACTTTAGTTTTGTTTTTATTCAGTTGAAGAAAATTATGGCACATCCAGGCATTGATTTCTTCTAAGCATTTCCTCACTGCTTGAATTGGTTCATAGTCACCTGGTGACATGGTGATGTAAAGCTGTGTGTCGTCTGCATAGTTACAGTAGCTGATGTTGTTTTTTATTAACTGAGCAAGAGGGAGCATGTAGATGTTGAATAGGAGGGGACCCAGAATGGACCCTTGGGGAACCCCACATGTGATTTTTGTCATCTCTGATGTAAAGTTGCCTACTGACACAAAAAAGTATAAGTGCAATGTTAAACTGTAACTATTATAAAACAGGTAATAAGTTGTTTTGCTAATTTATAATAACATCCCTTTCCATGCATTTCTCAAGTCATTGCCCTGCTGATTTGATCTTGAACTCAAAACAAAAGTCTTCTGCCAAATAAGGATTATAAATATACTGTTAAGTTGTTGCAGTTACCAACTGTTGAAATCATTCTATCATTTAATAAGCAACAACTACATATTCACAAAACAACAAACCTAATTTAATCTAAAAAGTATATATCCTGGGTGTGGAATTTATAATATTTAATCATTTTCATAATGTTTCTTTTACAAAAAAATAGTTGAAAGAATACTGAACAAATAATTGATAAGAGATTAATTAAACTCTGTTAGACATTTCAGTGAAGCTACAAATCTCTCAATATGAATGAGATGTCAATCATTCCCCCCAAAAAACATGCCCTATCGCCTTTTTCTGTCTAAAAGAATCAACTCAAACAAAAAAAGATATTATTAAAAAATATATCAGCTCTGTGGATATATACCGGTAAGCAAATCCTGCAATTTTCTGCTAAAATGCACAGGAAAAAATAGACAACTTTGCAGGGTTCGACATACTCCGACATTAAAATATATAAAAGGAGAACTTCGCCAGACATGATAACCTACAAGATGTTAAATAATTTAAAAACTGATATAAGATAAAAGATCATGAACCTTTTGCATTGCTCAGAAAAAAAAAGAAGTTTGAACATTTCCCTGAGTGGGCGAGTCCATCTGCTTATAAAGAGACCTGCTGCTGCTGCTGAGTCCAAACGTGATTCATCACTTTAACATTTTATCAAACAGATTCTTCAAGCTAAGAAAATCTTGACATTATTTAAAGAGTGGGTGAAGCATGCCTTTGGACCTATAAGTATGAAATAAAGTTATAAGTCATGACCCAGATAATCAAATATCTGAATCACCTTCTACGTGCGTTGTCCTGCTGTTTTGTCTGGCTCAGTCATTTTATCACTTTGTCTTCAACGAGTTTAGAAAGGTAAACAATCTCATTATTAGACATTAGGAATGAATCTGTTTGAGAGCCATTTAAAATATAGATTAATTTGAAACAGATGAGTAAAATATAAAACTGTTCAGCCTGACAAAACTACAAAAAGACTTTTGCAATGTGCCAAGTTTAATCATTGTAATTATGCAAATGGATTTAAATATCAAAAATATCACCGGCTTTTTAATTACAATATGGTATACCAAATTGTTTCGGTAAAAATTTGATGTTTTCTAGCACTCTAATCCATTCAATACAAAAGTCTGCAATCAACATGGTGTGATATCATCTGTCCATCTAACACAGTTATTTATGAACATATCATCTCACAATATGCAACTAAAATATGACTGAACAATAATAATACATGACCAATTTACTTTAGTCTTGTGCTATATATCTAAAACCCTGCCCTAACCCAACCCCTTACTAACACATACCAAAACTTAAACCTAACCTATACTCAATTCACACCTAAATCTAACCTTCAACCCAAGAAGAGAACCTTTCCTCATGGGGATCATTCATTGGTCCCCACATGTACCAATAAGTCCGCTTTGTAGTACCATTTTCCTGGGAATTTGGCCTTACACAGTTTACATAAGGTGACAAATACTTTGCCACACATAAACACAGACAGAAATAATAAAAAACTAAATACAAACAAACAAAAATGCTATAGTGCTGTAATAGTTCTAAATAAAAAAAATGCATGTACCGGTATGTGGAAAGAATAGTACCGTAGCATTTTCTTGTAAAAGTAGCTATAGTTGCTAATAGATTTTTTTTTATTGATATTACATTGAGAGCTATATAATAATAATTGAACTTTATATCACATTAGAGAAATTAACCTCTGCATTTAACCCATCCCCTTGGCGAGCGGAGGGCTGCCATTGTGTGGTGCCCGAGGAGCAGTGTGGGGTTAAGGTTCTTGTTCAGGAACCCAGAGTGCAGGCTGTGGTGATGGAACAGGTACTTGCAATCCTCTCAGAACACAAGCGGACCAATCAATCAATTATCTATCTATCTATCTATCTATCTATCTATCTATCTATCTATCTATCTATCTATCTATCTATCTATCTATCTATCTATCTATCTATCTATCTATCTATATATCTATCTATCTATCTATCTATCTATCTATCTATCTATCTATCTATCTATCTATCTATCTATCTATCTATCTATCTATCTATCTATCTATCTATCTATCTATCTATCTATCTATCTATCTATCTATCTATCTATCTATCTATCTATCTATCTATCTATCTATCTATCTATCTATCTATCTATCTATCTATCTATCTATCTATCTATCTATCTATCTATCTATCTAGGCCATGAAGAGATTAAGCACCCTGTAATTCTTTTCTTCAGTTTGAAGAAGAGTTTCAGCAGCCGGCCAGAGTTTAGGTATAGCTTGACATGGAACCAAAGGGTCAAAACATAGCAAATTTGTCAGTGATATTAAGTATTGTTTGTGTGACTCATAACATTAATAAAAAGTAGTAGCGGTGTTTAAATTCAATACCCTCATAGAGTTGGTATTTTATGCTTTTGCAAGGCGCTCAGGAGGCCCTCTGAGGCACTCTGGAGGCACTCTGAGCAAGAAATTGGATCAGTATCCAATTAGAATGTTTCCTTTCAAGCTTTTCTGGACAACTTCAGCAGACTGAAAGTTTGCAGGGCAGTCCCATCGCTGGAGTGGTAACATCTCGGAGCTTGGAACCTCAGGAGGAGCTGGGAAGCATCTCAGGAGGGAAGGACATCAGGAATACCCTGCTTAGCCTGAGCCACCATGACCAGACCTCAGATGAGTGGAGGAAAAGTGATGGACGGATGTATGGATGGACAGATGGAACTCCTGGTTGAGTTGACATGAAATGTCCCACAAGGAACAATGGGAAACATGAATATACATGTAAGCTTACAGGGCAGTTATGCTGATAGCTGAGGAGATACAGGCTTTTGCATTAACAGAGAATTGCAGTATATGGTAACCTAGCTGGCAACTCCTACGGCTATAAAAGCAAATATTCTCCTTACAGTGTTAGCTTTCATAGCTTTCTACTACTACTTGATAAAGATAAATCAGAGGCACAGTCTTACCTCCAATAGGAGCGGCAAAGCAGCAGCCAACACCCACAGCACAGGCAGCCGACAGCATCTCCGTGTTCCTCAGCTCATTCTGGTTAAAGAAAGAAAGAAATGCACATATACAAAAAAACATACAGTGCATTCAAAAACACTCAGATACAAGTCAATACATGCATGCAAATGCCACAAGAAACAGTGAACACAAAAGAAATTTATCTGTAGAAAAGCAACACTTGGGAATAGAATTAGTGTCAGCCTTCTGGATCTGCTCAGTTTTTGGTTGTTTCAAAGAGGGGAAGTCTGGAGGAGTTCCAATCAAAATACTGATTTGAGTTCAAATCAGTTTGTATCAAAGTGGGACACGGATTGTTGCCTCACTGTAACAGACCAGTGAACAGAACAGCAAAATAAAAGGGAGGAACATCAATTTGTCTCCATTTCTGAAACAGACAACATGGATTATTGATGATGATGGAGTTGGACATGAAGAAACAGTTTGACTTGTGTGTTCATACCTTGCTTCCTTCAAAGGGCTCTTCCTTCAGCAGTATGAGCAAAAGAAAAAGTGTGAGTGCAGATGTAACTTTGTATTCAATCAAACAAAGAGGGAATGCATTTCAGCACTGAGTCTTTCTAAACGTATTTTCTGCCAGATGTGGAATACTATCCATGTAGCTGTGTCAGTATGAATATTTTTTACTTGTGGCAACATGTTTTTTTTTTGGGGAGCAATCTCAGCAGTGTATCCTATCATGGCTGTGAGGGGCGAAGAGAACCCAGCCAGGGATCCAGTGTAGAAACAAACCCGACGCCCAGGTTAAACCATTAATGTGTGTGGAGGTAAGCATGTATCCTGGGGAATGGCAGAAGGTGAAAAAACACATGAAATACTTTTTTTCAAGAATGTTTTCTTAGCCAAATTCTTGTCATAATCAAAATAATGTTTTTAAAATTGAAAAGTACATTTCTTATTATTTTGTTGAGAAAATCTGAATAGTATTTTATCTGTGTTGCCTGAAGGACTGAGTCTGTGATTTTGGATCAGAAAAAAGATGTCACTGATCAAATCACCGGTCATTTCTTCCCCTCCCCAAAACGTTTTTTGACTTAAGAATATTACCATCTGCCACATGACATCTAAGAAACTTTCCCCACCTTTTGAATTTGCCTTAAAATACAACCTGCTCAATTCACCTAAAACAAAAATTATTAGATCATTTTGATATTTTGCACACTATGGCTTCATCTGAAGAATATCATGATAATACGTTTAAAAATATTTTAGGAAAGTAGACCCACAGCACAACTGATTGTTCTCCCTAATATAAACAAGGCACTTTGCAGACCAAGCAACAATTTTTGATGCTGATGTAGGTTCATCTGACTAAAGAACATGGTTTTCAGTTAAAGTGAGCATAGTGTAATTTACATTTGTGATAGAGAAATTCAAAGGCTGTTTTTGTTTTTTTCTACTACCTCCAAACGATTGGTTTCAATTAAATTCAATAAAAAAATAGTTTAATAATACCAAAGGCACATGTTACAGTAACTTATGGTTGTTTTTTTAACCAGTTATGGCAAGTGCTTATAGCTGTAGGCAGTAAGGATCTTCTGTAGCGGTTTATGTCTTTAATTGATCCCTTTAGTTTTGTATGAAAAATAGACTTTAAACTACCTCTATGGGTGTGGATACTTTTAGTCTTGTACAAAAAACAATTTAATTAGTTACTTTTTGTTGTTTTTTTAAGCTTATGGTGATCGGACCTTAAATAGTTTTTTTGTACATGACTAAAGACATACACTCCCGTTGAGGTAGTTTAAAGTGTATGTTTAAAATAGAACTAAAGGGATAAACGGGACTCGCATACGGGTAAGCAAATCTGTTGACTAGGCTCGGATTGGGAGCGATTTTCAGCCCTGGCATTTTTCCATCCACTTTTGTTGGATTTTATAGTTTGAAGAAATAGAAAATTACACCATATGCCAATCATCACAAGGATGTGCATGACAAGGAAGGGCTATATATACTGCATGGGTCATTTAGGTAAATAACATTGTATGACTTCTTGAGCTCCTTGAGTTATTTACTTTCACAATTAGGTGCTTTGGACGGAGAGTGAGTATCGGGGCCGGAATGATTAAAGGTGGGCTGCCCTCGCACATGGAAATTAGGACTGGCCGACCGGGCAAATGCCAGGTATCACAGATTACCTGTAAAAGCCTAACTATGGGTATGCTGGTCTGACGGGGTATGCTGATCAGACAGAACACCAGCTTTTTTATCAGCTTTTTGAGCTTTTTTCTGTAATTTGCTCTGATGCTGTTGACCCAGCAGATGAAGGAAGAGATCACAATCTCCTCAGACATATAGATTTGTAGCACATTGCTGCAAACACTTCCTCAATATGTACAGTCTGCTTTTCACAGTTGCATCTCCAGTGTTTGTTATCCAGATGAATCCAAGGTGTTCATATTTCCCCACCACCTCCACTTCTTCTCCCACGATGCAAATAGGATTCAACTTGTTCCTGTATGTTCCGGTTAGCATGTAGCTAGGCCTTTAAAAGCTCTATTAAGGATCGAGCTCTTTGCTGAAGCTCTAATAGTTTTTTTACTTCTCTTACCATCTTCCAAGTTGTTCTTGGGGACATGATGCATTATCTTGTTCAATAAAAACACATTTGTCATAAAATATTAGATTTTTTAGTTTAGTCGTTGAACTTTTATGAGCTTTTTACATTAAGCCCTTTTGTTTGCTAGGGTTGCCTTATATTTATATTAGATCTGTTTTTTAATGAATTTCTCTTGAATAATAGTCTATTTTAAAAAAAAGCATATGAAGGAATGCTACAGGTGATAGTGAAGGGGCACTTGTTTTTTAGTATGAAATTGTTAAACATTAACAACTCTTATGCCAAATAACTTTTTTTTTTTATTGTCTCACTTTGGAGATGAACAAAAAAAAAAAGAAATAAGAAAAACCTCATGTTCTTCAAATAAAATCTTTCAACAAAAATGTAAAATGACTGTTCTGCTTACCATGTAAATCCCACCAAAAACAGCAGCCATGAATTTGCTCAGGAGAGCAGCACACAGACTGGCAACATGAACAAAGGGTCCCTGTGAGGGAGAGAAGAGAGAGAGATGTCACCCAGCTGGATACTAATAAAAGCATTGCAATTGTCAGAGAAGAACGCTTCATTTGACACCAGTAGAAATATCATTAAAAATCCTTTACACAACCAAACCCCTCTCTGAATCACATCCAGTCTATTTGATATGCCAGCTTTCAACACTAATTCAGGATAGCTTCAATAATGCGGCTCTGCTTTAACCAAAAGCAGTAGGAGAGGCTTAGATATTAGTGATTTCACAATGTGCAGTGATGAAGAAAAGATTCCTCTACCTCTTTCCCCAGAGGCATTCCACTTCCAAGAGCGCAGGTCAGACCAATGACTTTGGCCACAAAGGTCTTAAAAGTCAGATATTCCTTGAGAACAACTCCTCTTAGTATCGTTTTCATCTCAGGAATACCTGAACCTGAGGTGGGAAGAGTGAGAAAAATGGAGAAATACCAGATGGGATGATGGAGTGCAGAGAAAAGATAAGATGAAAGAAAGCAATTACAGACAGAGGGATAAGATGAATAAATGAATAGCCTAGGCGTGAGAGGGAGGGGAGCTGATTGATATGCATACAGTTTTGTGTATGCACATCTCATCAGAGGAACATTTATGACTTTCCCGCCTGCAGAGATTTGCAGGACATGTCCTTGGAGCACTCATTGTGCACTTCAGTGCCAATTACATTAGTCAAACACAGAAAAATAGTTGTGAATTAGACAAAATGAATATATGTTTGTGCATAAATGGAATTTAGGTCTTACCAACAGCTTGAGGCGCCAGTATCTGAGTGAATCCTGCAGAGAAAGTGATGAGCACCACTGGGTAGGAGACCCAGGCGATGTACTGCAGAGCCATGTTATTGTCCAGGCCGCCATACATCCATTTCTGTGCTGCACAGACATACATGTTAGCAACGTCATCATGGTATAAGACAGCAAAAAAACTAGACAACCAGCATCTCTGCTGCTTACACAGCTTGCCTTGTTCTCTCTGATTCAAACTTTGCATTAATCAGATGTTTCTTTCAACTTTTGCAGCTTGACCCCTGCCTCATGAATGTTTAAAGTCTCCTGAGAATCAGCAAAGAAAATAAACACGCAGTGTAGCAAAAGTCACATTAGGGTGACAAAGTAGACCAAATACGTTTGGTCAAAGTAGACCAAACGTATTTGGTCTACTTTGACCTTTTGCCACATTCCACGCTTCAAACATAAAACAACCTTTTTTGTGAAGAATAAACAAGTGAGAAACAATCATGAGGTGGAACGAAATTTGTTGGATATTTTAAACTATTACAAAAAAAAGAATGAAAAATTGGGTGTACAAAATTATTCAGCCCCTATGAGTTAATAATTTGTAGCGCCACCTTTTGTGAATACAGCCGCAAGTCCCTTGGGGTATGTCTCTACCACCTTTGCACAGTGGTAGACTGAAATGATCGACCATTCTTCCTGCAAAACAGCTCGATTTCAGTGAAGTTGGATGGAGAGCGTTTATGAACAGCAGTTTTCAGTTCTTTCCGCAGATTCTCGATTAGATTCAGGTCTGGACTTTGACTTGGCCATTCTAACACCTGGATATGCTTATTTGTGAACCATTCTATTGTACATTTTACTTTATATTTTGGATCATTTTGTTGTTTGAAGATAAATCTTTGTCCCAGTCTCAGGTCTTTTACAGACTCCAACAGGTTTTCTTCCAGAATGGTTCTGTATTTGGCTCCATCCATCGTCCCCTTAATTTTAATCATCTTCCCTGTCCCTTCTGCAGTAAAGCAGGTCCAATCTATGAAGCTGCCACAAGCATGTTTGACAGTGGGGGTGGGGTGTTCTTTTAAACCAAATATAAAGTTTTGCATTGTGTCGAAAAAGGTTGATTTTGGTTTCATCTGACCAGAGCACCTTCTTCCAAATGTTTGCTGTGTCTCCCAGGTAGCTCCTGATAAACTTTAAATAAGACTTTTTATGGATTCTTTTAGTAAGTGCTTTCCCTAATAAAGGCCAGATTTGTGCAGTCTAAGAGTGGTTGTTGTCCTATGGACAGAGTCACCACCTCAGTTGTAGATCTCTGCAATTTATTCAGTAATCATGGGCCTCTTGGCTGCATCTCTGATCAGTCTTCTTCTTGTTTGAGCTGAAAGTTTAGAGGGAAGGCCAGCTCTTAGTAGATTTGCAGTAGTCTGATACTCCTTCCATTTCAATATTATCGCTTGCACATTGCTCCTTGGGATGTTTAAATTTGGCCACAGCAGAGATTCAGACCTGCCTGGTGTGTTTCTTTTTTTCATGATGCTCTCTGCCCTTTAAACAGACCTCTGAGACTCTCACAGAGCAGGTGAATTTATACAGAGACTTCATTAAACGCAGGTGGATTCTATTCATCATCATCAATCATTTAGGTCATTATTGGATCATTCAGATATCCTCACTGAACATCTGGAGAGAGTTTGCTGCACTGAAAGTAAAATGGGCTGATTCAGTTGGTGTGCCCCACTCTTTTATAAAATTTTTTAAAGGTGAAACTCTACAACAAAATTTCGTTCCACTTCATGACTGTGTCTGACTTCTTGATGATTCTTCATGGAAAAAAATAACAATTGTATATCTTTTTGTTTCAAGCCTGAAATGTGGCAAAAGGTCAAGGGGTTGAATACTTTTGCAAGGCACTGTAACTGAATTTTATGCCCATCTAATTAGAATATGTTATTCAGGGGTTTCTAAGTATATTTATTTCACTATTTGTTAAAGGATTTCGAATTAGACTGAGTCCTATGAATAACCATTTATTCATGTCAAAAACATACATACATATATTAAGGGGTTCCTGTGAGACCTAGTGTTGGGTCTAAAGCCCGTTGATGGTTACAGATTGCATTCCATCAGGATGCAGTCCACCAAGGAACATATTTTCATATGCTAGTGGGGGTGTATCCATGTATTTGAAGCCCTATGTATATTTGATATACATATATTCTATACATGTATATAGTATGAAACGGTAATACTTGTTAAGTCAACCACTGTTGTAAGTTCCCTTCACCCTGAAAACACAAGAGTTAAGAGGCATGCTTAAAAGCTCTATGATAATGAGCGAATGTACTGTAGCGTGATTACTGCCACCACAACTCTCTCAAACCAATCCATTATGAGGACTGGCATCTTAGATTTAATGCCCACTACATAAGGACTGTTGCTGGGAGTCATTATTAGAAATCGTACTCATGTCTTACTCTGGCTCCCTGCCTCTTTCCTACCTTCTTGGCAGAAGGCAATAGCATAGTCCATGACCCAGCTGACCAGAGCCATGACCAGCCCCAGCAAAATGAGGAAGATCCAGTCCTCTCCCACCCGTGAGATCAGGAACTTCTGGCAGCGGGATGCACACACTAAAGTTCACAAACAAGAAAGAGAGAAAACATAAATCCCTGAAAAAACCAACTCAAAGGTGGGATGGAAATTTAGTAGGGCAATTTAAATTGTATTTTTGGAAAAAATGAAGGCTGATTGGCTGAAGGCATGAAAATTAAAAGGCGACTGCTCATTTACATTAGCAAGTAAAAGATAGGATAATTGAACTTTTTTGATCTCTTATTAGAGAAATTTACCTATGCATTTAAACCATGCCTTTGGGGAGCAGTGGGCTGCCATTGTGCAGCGAACGGGGAGCAATCAGGGTTAAGTGTCTTGCTCAGAGACCCAGAGTGGCAGTCTGTGGGAGTGGGTTTCAAACTCACAACCTCTGGATTTCAAGCTCTATGCCCTAACCACTAGGCTGCCACGCCCCAATGATTAAAGGTTTCTTTTTTATTTCTTTCAAATATTCTCTACATTTTATGTAAACATACCATAGAGTTCACCGCAGATGTCAGCAACTATCCAAATTACCCACTCATAAAAAAAAAAACTAAAAGTAAATTAGTCAAAAAAATGTATTATATGTAATGAAGCTGGTTAAGTATAGAACAAATTAACAAAACCATGTGAAAAGGTTATAATGTTTTAAGCCAAGAAACCAGCTAAAGTATGACAGTGTTTAAAAACCCTCCCTGCAACTATGTGCAAACCAGTATCAGCTTTTTCAAAGTTAGTCACTATTTTACAAACTTTTACACTTTGGACAACTCTTAACTGGTTTGTGCAGAGTAAAGAAGACATGAATACAACTGATCTCTGTGAACTGAAGGACAAACTTGCAGACATTTTGTGGTGTAGAATGGTTGAAAGACACACTTGAGCAATAACAGTGACTAGTTTCTCTATGCATGATGCATTTTAAAGCTTCTATGACCAAGAAAGCCTTTCAAAAACGTATCCAATATATTTGTGTAGGATAATATGCCATTTGTTTCTTTCCATTGTTTTGTTTTGCGGTGGTCTGGCCACCAGTTTACAGGCCATAATAGTGCCCTAATCATCTTTGATATCTTTTTATGTGTGGATTTAATTATTTTTTTTACTTTTTTACATAAGGTATGACTTTGATGTCAATGTAAACAATTGTAGCATATATACTCAGAAAACCCTCTGTTTTTAGGAATTGGAATAATTCGCAGTAAAAGCAAATAATTTCACAAAACAATAAGAAACCTAACAGTTCTTAGTGTTTTTTTTTACAGTTTCAGATTTTGAAATCCTGAACTATGACAGTCAAGGATTAAGCTGTCGTTATTTTAGTCAAAAAGTGGAAATACAGATTTAAAGCTAAAGTATCAACTTGACACAAAAAACACACAAAAAACATAATAACAGACAATTAATTCTATTTATAGGTCTCTCAATGTTAGATAAAAATTTGTATCTGATTTTCTGTAAAAAAAAAAGGACTAAATTCCAGCTCCTTAAAACAGATAACCAGGTCTAATTTAAAAGTATTTTTCACAAATCAGTTTATCATTAAGCTATCATATAGATCACTAGACAAAGAGCCTCATGGGAGACAGAGCATTACTTAATGCATACCCCCTTAAAATGTGAGAATTTAGCAGTAAAATAAAGCTAGGCCATTCTTATAACCTTTATCACAATACAATCCATAAATCTGAGCTAGGTCACCTAAAAGAAGCATCACTGGACTAATTTCCTCCCTCTGGTCTCTTAAACGCAGCCAAAGCCTGGAATTTACTTCAGTATTCAGAGCATTCATAGATGTGGTCATCCCTGGAGAAGATTAAAATGTGCCACTTACACACAGAAAGATCCATATTTCATGAAACTGCATCAGACAAGTCATCTTAAACTTTCTTTCTTGTAAATGGCCTGTTTGATTGTATCTGAGTGGAAAACTGAAGACGTAAGACACAGAACACAGTAACACACATGGTAACACAAATTTTTTTTAATGAAAATAAGACAGAAATACAATAACGAGTTATCAAACAAATACATTAAAGAAAGTTTTGTATTCGGTATTTCAAGTTGAATACTATTATCAAGGAAACTAGAATTACAGCCTTCAAATCCCTATATTAAATACTGACCAGTTCTTTCCTAGTTCCCATTCTTTTTGACTATTTTAACTGACAAGTTCCAAACATATAAAATCATGTGACACCGTTTATACCTTTTCTATAATCTCTTGTTTGTAGATTTGAGTGGTGGGCATTTTCTCACTGCTACAATATGCTAGACACTTTAGCCTTACAGCTTTGGTTGGAGCTGCAAGTCGTCTCACCCTTCATGGGGCTGTCAGTTACTTTGTACCTTCTTTTATTCTCTGACTGGTGAGTAGCTCCTATTCTTTTTGACTTGGCAGAGGTGTAGTAACTGCCATGCTTCTGTTTTGCTTGCTGTTGTTTTTATACCCTGACAAGTGGCACGTTGGGCCGCTTGCTCAACCTAGATTTATAATTTCTGGTTGAATGTTGTGTCAGAAGTGGTGTTCTTAGTTCAGTTCACAGATGAAGGAGCTTATTCAGACCCTCCAGGGTTTTGGTGGCACTGGTCTGGTAACAGAGCCTGACCCTGGCCCAGACCTATGCTTTGGGGTCTCTTTCTTAATGAAGATGCGGTTTAACTAGCAGTTTCTGGGACATTGTTTCCTAATCCGTTTGATTTTTTTCTCTTGTGTGTCGATGTCTGGTTCCAATGCCTCCAAGGGTTCTCATCTTGTGAATGAGTCTAGCCTTAGCCCTTGCTTTTCTTAGAAAGACTGAAAGTTGTTCCTGCTACATGGCCTCCCCCATGGCGGACTATCTTAAAGGGGAACGCCGTTTTTTTTACATTGGCCCCTTGATTTTACATTATTACATCATGTTCTACTTATATCCAAGTAACGTCTTCCTATGGGCAAACGAGTTGAAGGCACAAACTAAACTGTTCATAATCTATCATTTATAGTGCGCCAGTATTCATAACATGTAGGCGAATCACTGGCCCCCAGACATCCGCGGTTATATTTTTTATATTTATATCTTTTAAAAACAAAGCGGAGTTTGTATGACCTCACCCGTGCGCGCCGGCTACCATTCATCCTGTCCGCTGAACTGCTGCTAGTTTTACTCACATGCCTGGAAGATGTCTAGTACTACTACCACAGATGATCTCGCTCTCGAAATGGAATTGAACGATTCAGATTAGCTAGATGAATGAATAGAAGGGGTAGAACACAGCCGCCTGTGGCCCGGGCTGCCTGTCACAACTCCAGTCCGGCGCGCAGATGACGTCATACACACTCCGCTTTGTTTTAAAAAATATATAAATATAAAAAATATAACCGCGGATGTCTGGGGGCCAGTGATTCACCTACATGGTATGAGTGCTGGCGTACCATAAAGAACAAATTATGAACAGTTTAGTTTGTGCCTTCAACTCGTTTGCCCATAGGAAGACGTTACTTGGATATAACCTAACGGAATATCTTCAGAACAGCTCCAAATGACACACAACTCATATGGGTGAGTAGAACATGATGTAATAATGTAAAATAAAGGGCCCAATGTAACAAAAACGGTGTTACCCTTTAAGGAGGTGCATACATGTTGGAGTAATACAAGAGCCTTTCCCTGGCTCATGTCTAATAACAGGGCTCTAGTAGCCATGCAGTGTGTGCCTAAGTTTTGATTGGGCCATATGCCTCCAGTGGAGAGGTGTAATTGCATCTTTCACTGTGGCTTCTTATGATGCTTTGAAGCTCAGTACTTTGTGTCCTCTTCCCCAATGCCTCATCAAGGTGGAGCTGCTCTGCCATGCTTATAATTTATATGCTTGACTGGTTTGTCTTGGCAATTCTTTATTCCAAGTTCTGTTGGCTATGTCAGTCTTGCCTGAGGGTACTACGGTTGGCGGACCTAGTCTGGGTTTGACTATGCATCCCTGCATGCTTTTGCTCTCAGGTCAAGGGAGAACAGTCTGGTACTGTCTGCCCTTGTGCAGGTAAGGCTCGCTCAATCTAAGCTCCCATGTTTGAGGGGGGGCAGCTAGTGACATTGTACGAATAGAGATGGGATGGTTGCCACGTACCAGATGCATTGGTGGTGTCCATACTATCTCCTGGTTACAGCTCCGCTGCTGCTCTCAAAGTTAGGGTTAGGTCAAAATGACAGTCATCAGTTACCCAATTAAAGCATTGGCATTGAAAAGCAAGATTAACAATTTGCAGGCCAAGGACGTGATCATTCTTGTGAACTCCGTGTTGGATCCACAGATTTACTCCACACTGTATATATTTTGGTTTTGAAGCAGAATGGCAGTTTGACTGAGAGGCCTTAATATGTTTTTACCCTTCCACATACTGATTGTCTGACTGAATCATTCATCATGCAGTTTCCCCGGCGATTGGTTCAATTCGATCTTCTGGAGGGAAATATAGTTGCATGTGCTTACTTTCCAGCACCATTGGTGCTTTCTTTGTTTCTCCTTTCTCCTTGCAGTTCTCACTACTCTCCTCACCTTCTTCCAGTCTGCGGTGTTGCAGCCCCCACACCACACAGTGAGACAGCTGGTCAGAACGCTCTCTATGGTGCTTCTGTAGAAGGTCATGAAGATGGGTGGCAGCAGGTGGGCTCCCCTCATCCTCCTCAGGAAGTACATGAGCTTTTGTGCCCTTTTGACCAGTGAGGTGGTGTTTACAGTCCAGGTGAGGTTGTCTGTAATTATCATGTTCTTGGCGCTGATGGTTCAGAATTTCCTTTTCTCCTGCTCATCTCATTACAACAACAAACCAGTAAAATGCTTATTTTGCCAGTACTATTAATGTATCATGTGCCTGCTTTTATCTAATTAGCTTATATTTTTACATTTGGAGCGAGTTTTAAAATTATTCTTTTTAGTTTTTTTTTATTCAATACTCTACTTTAAAGACATTTTAAGACATTTTACAAGAAACTGTCTTTATTACATTTAAGTGCAAAAATGGGATCCCAGTCTACATATGTATTCTTTCACTTGT